TTCAGCTTGAGCCGTATGCTTAGCCGGAATCTTTTCCCACCGCTGAACTCTTTATTTGTCGTAGCTACCACTTTCTGAGACGGTCGTCTCTGCGCTTTCCTCCCCTGTTCCCTATTGCTTATTGGGTTGATTGGCTTTTTCCCCCACAAACCTAAACAACCACTAACCAAAAATCCGGTAAACGGGACCACACAATTATTCAATAAGATTAGTAATGTAACGCGTTTGGTATAAAGCCTGATACGCCTGCAACTGCACCTCAGATTCAAACAAATTGACAGCTCTGGGCTTCATTTTTACCGTGTACAATGAACCAATGAANNACGGGGATAGCTTTTGATTAGGAATAAATAACTCTGATCATCAGTCATTTGCAATTGAATCACCTTGTGTATCGTCTCGCCTGAGCGAGGCCACCAATATTCAAAAAAAAACAAATAGGTCACACACTTGTGTTTTCTAAGAGTATGAAACATCTCCGATATGTTTTTATCGAATCACACACATTTAGATCTGATGTCCGCACATTGGTGATTCATTAAATTGGAGTGATTTTGAAGAACAATGAAAGTGAGTTTGAGCATATTCAAATTAATATGCTAGAAAGTACATCGAAAGTGATGTTGTGTTTGGGATTGAAAACTTCTATCTCCGCTCTAGTCAATAAACGCATGCCAGCATATGACAACGTTCTGAGGTTCAGCAAAGAATAGATAGATACTATGCAATGGTATTTTCGGATGCTGCGATACGCCATGTGTGTGAAACTAACCATGCACACATTGATCGGGGGGAGGGGCGGGTGGGGCATTCGCAAGTGGTGCGAATTGATTTCGTCCCCTTTTAGGAGAGACAATGTTCACTTTTGTGTCGTCCATTTGTGCTCTATGCGTTTGGAGCCTCAAAAAACTGACACACGAAGTTTTCGATTTTTACTTGTTATGCACCGGTTTCTTCTTGCTTTACATAGCGTTCCGGTTTAGTTGACCACCCTTACCAAAGAAACGCTGTAAACCCCCAAACTTCGAGTAGATCCTTTAGAGAATTTAGAATATTTTCCGAACACTTGCGATACTTCATTCTTTCTCATATGAATTTTGCATTGGTGATGCTCGCAGCTGATTTCAGTAGAGGAACAAAGTGAACTTCCCCTCCGGACTGGTCGCTTATTTAAACCGGATTTTTATCAGCAGTAAACAATTATTCCGTGAAAAAGCGAGCACTACTTAATAATCCCGATCATTGTATACTGGAAGCTTCCCCAGTGGTTCACGGCAGAACTAAACGGGGCACGTTTTTATTAAGACCGAAGTAACGGAATTACTCATCTCGAAAATCTACGATATATGGTTGCCCCAACCAATTTTCAGTGTTCAGTAATCAGGATGGAATCCGAACAATTTGAGGGTAGCACGGATTATTTAAACGTTGGTTTCGATCAGTGTTGTCCAGTAGAAGCAGCGTGAAAAGACTGCTTTTCCTAGCCCTGATAGAAACAGTCATGACGTCAGAAAGAATCTGTATACAGTTTCAGTTTGCTTGGTTTCCCATTTAGATGAAGCAGTTGGAGAGAGACAGGAAAGGTTGAAAGTAGGATCGAAGAGAAGATTGAAAAGTTCAGGAGACTAATGATACAGAGAAATTGAGAAGATGCACGAACGCCACTGTTTACGACACCCAGCCATATCACTCAGTGTCTCTAACCATCGGGTACGACCATCCTGAGGTCCCCATCCAGGAAGCCTAACGGGACCTATGTGACCCAGACTCTTGGTTAGGGTTTTCATACCCTCATGCTAGGTCTTATCTTGACCACCCTGGGCTTTATTCCACCCACTACCTGCCTCGGCAAATATCGCTCGCCGTGACAACCTATTTGATGACATGCGTACCACTCGCTCCAGCGGACGACCGCGATTACCTATAACTCTGCACCTAGCCTTAACATTGCTGATCAGGCTACCCTAGCAGATTCACGTAATGCTGCGCAGATAGCGGTGTTCAAACATCGACAGTTCATCTTTATTCTGCTTTCTTAATGGCCAAGTTTCTCACCTTCTCAATTTCTTTGCAACTTTAATCCACTGAAACTCTCCATTTTAGCATCGACTTTAGTTTCAACTTTCCTATCTTTATCCAACTGCTTCATCCAAATAGGCAACCCAAAGACAGCAACCAAAACCGGGGCGCGAAAGTGAGTGGTCAATGGTTGTACAAAGTGATACTGAAATTATCGCTAAAACAAACAGTGGATGGTGCTTGCCGACTTTCTGTCTGTTCTACGATTCATTTTATTTCAGATAAACAAGTACCTAATTGTTTAGCTTTTGACTGTAAAAAGATGAACTCGATTGAACTAAAAGCAAAACTTGTTTTGTTTAAATTTGTCTCAGAATCCTTTGCAAGTCACTATCATATTATTAAAATTTCAAGATATCGAAGATTCACATTCATCTCACAGTTAATTGCGAGTAGTGTGGTGGGATAGTTGATAATGATAGATTGGAACTGATCATCTTTCCGACCGAGCTGGCTCGTACAGTGGTAACACACACACACACACACATCTTCTATGCGATGGTCCCGGAGTTCAAATCCCGGACGGGACGGTGGATAATCACTACTGATGAGCTCTAATAAGAGAGAAACTCGATTCTAGTGCTTCAATGTTTGAGTGACAACAAGAGCTGAGGAATGTGTGTGAAGGATGGTCACTTCTATTTAATTAACATCGAAGATCCTTCAGCGGTAGTAGTACTGAGAAATTTCTAAACCTATTCCCAAAGCTTTCCCGTAAAAGTGTATGAAAACAGTTAACCGAATAAACCACTATTTAGTACAATCGAGATTTGAGGCGGAAATGACACACTCTTACACAGCATCTGGAGTCATCATTCGGAGCCGATACAGTATATTCAACGTTATATTTCGTAATGCGATAACCAATATAGGAAAGCCTGTGTATGTATGTGCGCGCACAATAAAGACATGTGTCACATTAATTCTCGAATATGTCCAGCACCGAGAGAGATGACCTGCAGATGATTGTCAAATTGTAGTAAAAACAAATTTTGAAACAAAGATCTCAACGGCATTCTCATAAAGGAATGATGAGGATAATGAGAACCTGCGCGTGTCTCTTGAGGTTGCTCATCGTCCGATTGTGGCGGTTGGAAAAGGGATGTCACGGGTAGGCTACCGAGGAATGCACACAAGCTATCCTGTGCCGTGTTGACGGTGTGCCGAGAAGTTTGTTTTCTACATTACACAAACCACAGACATACTAATTTACAGGACTGAAATGAGCGTTGAGTTCAAAACAACTGAGACTGATTATCGACGGGAAAATGCGAATACAAAACTGTCATATAACTTCAAAGATTGCACTCAGTTCGAATCTGATCACAACAGTCTGTGTCCACTCACCATCATGATCGGATTCGACAGAACCACACCATGCAGTCGGATCAGATTCGGATGGGAGAGGCATTGCATGGCACGCAACTCGTCCAAAAAGCTCGTGTAAAAGTCCCCGACCATGGCCTCAGGACGTAGCAGTTTCACGGCAACGGGGATCTGAGATGAAAATGGTCACAGGGAAAACGATGAAAATAATATCAGAAAAAAAGGGTGAATAAATTTTGTAGATTCATTATTCTTAGTAGGCATTATTAATCAATGATCGCCTAAGAAAAATGGTTTGAATCGTGATGAGAATCTGAAGCAATCCCTTCTACTAAAGGATTTTATTTAATTTTCATAATTATGTGCCTTGATCCAGGATATTTGATGACAGGAAAAAAAGCGCATTCACGGATCAGTTCACAACATGCCAGTGACTATTAACAGTAACAGGATGAAATCAATGCCCGAAGTTAGAGCAGTGGAATTAGGATATTCAAGAAAAGTTGACCACATTTCCGATGACTCTTCATTGGTCGGCAAAGTAACGCTAAGGATATCAGTATCCTTTGCAAGCTTTCACGGGAACCGATTGAATAACCATAACAACGATGAATCTCTCATCAGAGTTCATTTATCGGACATCTTTATGTGACCAACAAAGGGAAAGAAATTTTCTTTATACGGGACCGGCAACGCAAGTTTTGACAGGTGGAGCGCCATGGGACATGAGGACCCAATCGGAATGGTGTGACTTTGAGGTTACACTCTCATTTTTCACAACCATTGTTGGGCGACAGCTTTGGCTTGAGGTTACCCGTTTGGTAGGCCAAAGATGAAGGAGAAAATTGAAACGCGCGAAACAAAGAGCGGCATCAAGATACAGCTTGGAGCAAGATCAATGTGAAAAATGTGACTCGGGGCCAATCGCAACTTCATCCGTTTGTCTACGTGCCACGTTGCCAAAGCATGGATAAACAAGAATGTAGAAATGCAACCGAAAATATCAAGGAATCGATCCGGTGACAGCTTACAAACTAGTTATTACCTTATGCAATACCCGGCATTCTCTTGTAGAGGGGAAGTCGGACCCGAAATGGTTTTGACGGAGTCATAATTTCAAAGCCTAGTGCCGAAACGGGGGAGGCTGGATGCTCGCGACAAGCTCGTAAAGACGAGCTGTGGTATATGGACAAGATGAGATAATGTGAGTAGCAATGCGGTGCTCAAGCGGGTAAGATGCCTGTGTTCTACCTGCCAGGTCCCGGGTTCGATTCTTAGATGAGTGGATGAATTGGCAACGGTGATAAGATTCAACAAAACACCGTGCTTCCAAGCTCTTCAGTTCCCATTTTTGTTGTCCTCTATACGACGAAATGTATCATGTAATCAAACTGAATCCTCCTGTACTCCCTTGTAACCATGCAATGCCTTGTTCCCAATGCTAGCCTAAGCATGTGCTTCGCTGAATAAAAGAACAATCCAGTACTGGAAATTCGACCATTGAAAACCTAAAGGAATGAACGAGGGTGACAATGGTGGTAAGTCCTGCTGTAGATTTATTATCACCCTTTCTGTTGCATAGGTTGCAGTTGTTCTGGGCGCATATTCTAACATTTCACATTTCACCCGTTTTAGCTCTCATGCCTCGTTTTTGTTCAAGTAAAGCCTATTCTTAAAGGATGTTGCCTTCTGGCTTGTCTGCCGACTAAACGTGTGATCAGCTACACCACAAGTCCTCACCAATCATTTANACCAATTTCGGTGCGAGTCGCTTCACTGTCACCCGTCTCAATAGCACACCTATGCCATTAGGGACCCTTATGTCCCGAGGTTTAGGTTACCGGTCTCCACGAAAGAACAGTACGTCCTCACGATCAGGCGATTCAGAACGAAATAGTGCGTATAGTAAAAAAAGAGCATTTTCCACAATGTGTGGTTCCGAGGAAACTCCGCAACTGCTCAAACCAAGTGTGGTGATTAGTTACACAGAGAAACAATTCAGATCAGGCTAAAGACCATTGTGATCTTGCGAGAGAGAGACAGCATTGAACCAACAACGATGCTACGATGCTACAACCACCATCGATTACCACAGCTGGTCCGATAAACAGAAGGCCATGA